CCCCCCCCCCAACCATCCATCCATGATTACAATCCTCATGACCCTGCTATTAATACACCCCACGAATGAGAATACCCTCAATACCTTCAATATTATAGATTTTATCATCAAGCGGTGATACTCTGGACACAGATGAAAGATCATTGTGGTGGGGTCTTTGTCACTCTATAGACATTCCAATTGCCCTGGCCTGCCAAATGATGCATCTACCTTTTGTCTGGGTTGGTTTTATGTTGCAGAATCTGTCATGAACACCAAGCGTGAGAGTATGACCATTATTCAGTGGCGGGGAGGCTATCAGATGGTACAGCTAGGTCAACTCAATGTGGTTAAAGAGACCCTGTATAATAATACCAGTAGACAATAATTGGAGTATCATTGCATTGAATGAATTAACTTTTTTTCTTCTTACCATTAGGGTTATTTCCTTGTCATTCACACAATTGCTTACACTGTACATTAAATGAAAAAACAAACAAACATGTTTTTATCTTTCATTATTCAATGATATCAGAAATTATGTTTATGTCACCCGTAATTAATCAAAGCTTCACTATGCACTATATGAACATTGAGGAAGAATATATTTCAAAGTAAGCTTAAATTGCTTATTAGTTATAGAAGGAAAATGAGTCTTAGATCAGTCCAGTTTATGAATGGCATGAAGAAGCCCCACGAAGGTCAGATCCCAGCTTTAAAAAAAAATCACGTGAGATCCTCATTTGAGATGTGGTTTACCTATGATCCTTCCTTCTCTCGAAATGAGAGAGGCGTCACCTCACAGTCTCTTGTTGAGTGAAGACACTGACATGACCCCTTTCACTTCAGCTGCACGGCAGACTGGTCCCCGCAAATTTATTTCATGAAAGCAAGCCTAGCTTTGATTTATAACCCAGGTCTGCCTCATGCATTTATTATGGACATTTCTACAAGAGCAACATTCTGGGGGCCCATATACCATATGCGATCTGCACTATTGCATCTTTTATTCATTCCAATTATTTTTGTTGGGAGCGTTGAAGCTCGTTAATTCATCTCGGAAAGTGTAAATGATCATGAGGAGAAATATTTTTGCATGCAATATACAGGCATGGGTAATGTTTGTATTACTATAAGTGTTTACTATGTTGAGAAACAAAATGATGTTTATACTTATGAAGAATATTGTTTCCTCATGTCTTGGGATGGTTGGAAAATAGAAATCTGATTTGATTCATTTGATTCATGATAGATTCTCACATGTACCAATGTCTGCAGCACATTCAATAATGCAAATTGCAGATGGCATGAAGCAAAGTGTCAGAGAGAATGGAGAAGGTGTCAGGCCAAGTTATGGATGAGAGGCAATGCATTTTGGCAATGCAGGTCACATGCATTTGGGCAATCAATGCAGTCTACATGCCGCAGTCTGTTCATTTTGGAGAGAAAAAGAGAATAAGAGAGAGAGAGAGAGAGAGAGAGAGAGAGAGAGAGAGAGAGTGGGAGGCGATACATCCCATCCTGAGCTCATCATTAAACGTGATCCGTCTTCCCAACTTCTCTGCTTTAATATGCACCCGTCTTGCAGATGATTCCATTTAAGATAGAGCTTTCCCTATCCTCGTCTGCATTGATTTCTAGTTGGTTTGATATTCTGTGTTTTCTTTTTCAAAAAAAATATTGAAAATAAATATGATAAATACTTTGTCATTGCATTCCTGAATAAATGCAACATTTTATTGATCTTCAAAGAATTACTCTATTTTAAATCTGTATGTTTAAAGAAGCACTCTTGTGTTTTCCTGGAGTAGCCCCCTTCTTTTTAGTTAACTTGTAGTTACTTAGAATGAAAGGAGAAAAACTAGTTTTCCCTTTTATTTGATCCAATTTTGAAACATAGGTCTCTATTCTGACCTACCTATTCTGATATGACGGGTAACAATTTTCAATTTTGATGGCACCAGGAGTTCGATTATGCATCTTATACACTATGTCAGTGGTCACTGTTTTCATGATGTAGTCATTGGACTGTCCCCTAGAGGCAGCATTTGGATATTCTTACGCTCCGAAAGGTTGCTCTTGATGCAAATTACACTTGTATGTTTTCTTTGCATTCTTTATGTGATTCTTGTACAGGTTTGCACTTTCGTCTCATATATACATGTAGATATTAGAAAGAGTGTGTCCTGTTCATTTTGAGAAATGTGGATCATAAATGTCATAAATGTCATAAATTACATGTACATGGTATCAACAACACTACTTTATTATTTGTATTTTTTTGTGTAAATGCGAAGTTAGTGAAGGAGATTAAAAATATCTTTTTATGTTTCAATTTAATAATGTTTGTTACAATATGAGAAGATATTCCAAGAAATGCAGATGAAACAGAAATGAGAAATCTGCTAGACTATCTGTATTGAGGTATTGCAAGGCTACTTGAAATGGAATTTATCGTGCTTTCCCGACTATTGATAGATTATGTCATCTTTGAAATATGGAAACCCTGTTCTTTTACAAGAACAGCAATGACATTTATAGAAAAGAAGGAAATCTTTATAAGGCATTTATCCTCTTTCATTGATGTGTATTGCTCAGACCAGGATATTGACTTACTATTCATTTGAAAGCAAAGTTCACATCTTTTGATATTCTTTCAGACTAGAGGAGTCAAGAAAGACATTTCTAAAACGCCCTAGAACTCATGTATGTTTCCTAGGTAACTGATGATGCACATATCTTGCCATGTTTATCATAAGAAAAGAATCTCTCTGTGCTCAATTCATGCAGTCCTTTGCATTCAATGAGACACATTAATCCTTCTCTGGTTGTGAATACCTCCTAAAGTAATGATGTGTATACAATATTTTTCAGTATTTTCGAAGGAGAATCCCAGAATAAAACTAAAATTTAAACACATCATGAATGTTTATGCTTTAGTGCATGCATATGAAGTCTTTTCATGCCTTTACCTGGAATAAATCTCTCTCAAAAGTTGTGCCAGCTCTCTATTTATGCTTTTTTAGTGACAATGGTGCAAAATAATAATCATGAAACCATTAATCAATTCCTCAATTGAAAGCCATCCTTTACACATGACAAAATGTGGGATGTGAGTTATAGGAATTACTGTACATGCTTTATAATACAGAAATACAAAGAACAGGTTTGTATTTTTATAAGTGTTGATAATGCTGTTTCCAAATATAGTATATGACACAATGTGTAGGCTTGCATGTAGTTCTACTCTTTATCATCATATGTACATTGGCACACATCCATTGACTGGATGTGTTTATTTTCCGGAAATAAACCACAATCTACTTGATTCCCCCCCCCCCCCCCCCCCCCCTTTCCTGTGCAGGCTTATCTCTATTGTGATAACTTGTGGTGATAACTTGTGGTAAAATAGTGCGCGTGGTACATTATGTTCAGACTTACTAGTTACATGTACAGTACTAGCCATTAATGTTAATGGAAAGTTTGTGGAAAAACTGACGAACTAATTCCATTTGTGGCCACAAATTTGTTAATGCTTCCTGGATAGTCTCCGCTCTTGTAATTTAGTCACCTACCTGCTCCAATTTATAGAAAGTTTGAATTGAATTATTACTTTAAAAAAAGGAATAAGCAAGAAAGAAGAAAAAGAAAAAAAAAAATTAAAAAGAAAGTAAGATTATTCTTTCTCCCCACATATCTTTTGGCAGCATCAACTTTCAAGTAGGGTTTTATAAGAAAGACAGATGAGTTGCTAAATCATGTACAGTGTATACTGTTCAATGTTACTCTATGTACATGTACATGTATGTACAGTTTTTACAGTTTTATCGATACACCTGAATTTATTCTCCAATTTGAACCTTTAGTAACTAATTTTTTTAAAATTTTGAATTTGTTTCAATTAACGCAATGACATGAAGACTGTACAGAATTGTGATTATTTTAGTTTGTCATGTATTCCTAAAATATTAACAAAGATGATGAATAGGTGAACTAGACAATCTTTGTGTACAAATATTCCCAGGGTGAAAGTAGAATCCCATGTCTGCAATGAAAATGTAGTAGTTTGATTAGCTTCCTTATTCCCAGCCTCCTGTCCATTCTTTCCTTTCCCCAAGGACAAGATTTATGGGAGCTCATCTCTCTGAATTATTAATATCACAGCTTTGTGAAAGTAGAAGAGTAAGTGATGATCTCCATTCCAAGAGACACCTGCTTATGGTCATCTGATCATTAACTCCTCCAGTCTCGACAGGATTCATGGGGCTCATTTAAGATTGATGCACATCCATCACATGCACAATCTGATATCTAAACTATAATTGGGCGAGTCCAAGATATTTGGTCATTTTCGTTCCTATGTGTTGTCAGGAAAGAATATGAATTGACTTCAAAAGTGTAATTTTACTAATACTTGATATTTGGTTTGATCTAAGTTCTATTTGAGCTTGTTAATAAAATTTTACAATCATCTGATATTGACTAAAATCTTAAATGTGATCAGTAACAGTAACCTATGGTGAAACATACTTTGAACTTCTCTACAAATACTTTGTTTTGATGCAGGTTTTGCTTCCTTGTCCATTTTGTTCAATAGATTTGTTTCACTGTGCTCAAGGCTCAAGTTCTTAACGTGTTGTAGACATTTCGCTTGATATCACCTTGATTTTGAACTTCTTAATATAAATTTTATGTTGTTTTTTCACCGTCTTTTTCCTATTCTTTCATATTTTCTGTCATTTCCAGTGTGTCTACTGAAGAGATATTTTGTAACTGGATCTACTGAGAAGTACATATTTCTGCATACCAAGTGAAATAAGCTGTTAATAGATTCTCTTTTCCTTTGCATAGTGGTGCAATCTTTTTCAGACCACTCCAAGCCAATTTCTTGTGAATTGTTGGCACAAAAATAACTTCATGTCGCAGCTAGCTATCGCTACCACCTTGCCTATATTTTAATTTCAATGCTGAAGGTCACATGACTAATTAATGGTCTTCTCTTTATTATGTCTCCTTTCCAGGTATCTTATCCAGGAGCTTCTGAAGCACACATTCTTTGAGGATACTGCTTTCCGAGTGGATATCGTCCATGATGACAACAAAGATCAGATACAGCTCCAGCTGCGTGTGGAAGACCCCAAGAAGAGAAGAGAGAGGCACAGAGACAATGAAGCTCTCCAGTTTGAGATTGATTTGAATAAAGATGAACCTGACCAAGTTGCTAAAGAAATGGTAATCAAATTCCTCTTTTCATAATTTTGGGTAGTGTAAATGTGGGTTTAGAAAATTACTTTAAAGAAAACAACTTTTTATATCATTCCTTCACCTGTTGATTGTGTTGAATTGTTTTATCTCACAGTTTCCTGTAGACCCCAGTGCAAGATAGTTCAGACATCATTGTCAACATGCTAAGAAAAACTGTTTCAAAGAATTCAGTTTTAGGGGAGAATTTTAAAAATACTTCTACATGTAAAGTATAACATAGAAATTTGAAAACAAAAACATTAGGTGAGATAAAGCATGGCATCATTCTCTGTTGAGATTTTCAATGTAGAATTTGGCCTAGATATCCCGTCACTTTGAGGTGGTATTTAGCATTCTGACCTAGTTTTTGGAATCCAGGGAGACTTCTTATTTCAGGAAGGGTTAACAAGATTGCTATGTGATTTCTTCTCGGTTACCACAAAGGTGATAAACTTTGTCTCGGCTTTCTTGACCCACAGGGTACTTACATATAAAGTGCTCCTATTTATATTTTGCTACTGATTCAAGAATGTTTTGCATTAGTATGAAACATCCTACTTGTATACTATAATAGTTTTAAGTTCACATGTAATGCCTACAATTGATACAGTTTGAATCATTTTAGTAAATTGAATTAGGGTATGACCTGGATGAAAGCGATGAAAAAACCTCTGAACCTCTTGAATTTGATGTAATTATTGTGAAATTCACAAAGAGAATCCAAAGTACTGGAATGATGACAGCGCATTAATAGTGTAGTATGTCATGTCATGTCATGTCAGATATTTCATCTAAAATACTACCTAGCTTTGCATACATGTATGTAGGCCTACATTTAGATAGTTGAGCCTCAGTCATTTTTTGCATTGGTGGCACTTGACCTGACCCTGATACAACATGCACTTGGGGAAAGATGCATTGAACAAGATGGCAAGGTAGTCAGTCAGCTCTCGCTCGCTCTCCTTGTAAAAGGTTGTCTAGCGGTCAGTGCGTACATGTCCACACAAGCAGGTCAGTAGGTGTTTGCCTAGAAATTGAATCCTGGAGAAGAAAGAAATGGGAATAACTCAGGGAGATGAAGTTCAAATGATGAAGTGTTTGAATTAAAAAAAAAAAATGAAAGAAAGAAAAAAAGATTGACGCTTAGCTCAGTCCTCTAAATTCCTGCCATCTGAAACGTTTGCAGTGCAGTCTGAAAGCAGTTCACCTACATGTAGGCATGATTTTACCTGCCAATTACAAATTTTAAGTTACAAGGGTTTCTACTTCTCATTGAAAGAGGAAATCACCTTAGCTAGTGACTATCAACAATGATGATGGACTTGAATTGAAAGTCTCTTTGTCTTACTCTTCGGTTGCTCATAGAAGAAGGAAGAGCTACATTTCTGTGTCACTTTCTGGGGTCTGAATGAGACAATGTCATCACCTTGTAGAACTATTTCAATGACAGACTGGGAAAGAGAAAATCAAGAACGAAAGATGGGGATTTAGGAGGAGAGTGTGAGGACAGAAGGAGAAAGTGTGGAGTCTAGTAGGGATGGGTGGGAAAGATAAATGATGGAGGTTGAAACTTGAGGCTCTATTTCAGGGATAGGTTTGCGTCTGGGTTTTTGATGGGGATAAGAACAAGAGTAAAGTGTAGTGTGGGTCCACATTTGAAGTTTCAATTTGAAGGATTCAATTACTAATTAGTTTTAGAAAAATTCATTAGAATTCTTGCCATAATGTGTGTTATAAATTAATTTAACATGAATGATAGGTATTTGTCTCCCGTGCATTGAAGGAAAAGTAAAAGCCAAGAGCCTTCACTTCAAATCTTGCATTTCGACCCCTGACCTCTGGGTGAACATGTTGTATCCTATAAATCCTCCTAGTATCAATTTATTAATCTACATGTAGACCAATATGAGCCAGAGTAGGAGGAAAGATGAATTAAATGATAATCACTATGAAAATTCGCTTGTAGGATTTCCTCCGCAAGTATGATCTGACATGTACATCATTGACCTTGCAGTGGAAGTCTTTAATTATCACTTAATTCATTTGATATTTCTCATCTTAATGTAACCAAGTCTTTACATGTATATCAAGGTTGTCAAGCCTAAGACGACATTTCAAGCAAGTCCTTTGCCATTCCTTGTACAGTGGTGAAAAAAGCAAACAAGTGGTCTTGTAAAACTCATACTAATTTATCAGAGGTGGTCAGTTCTTTGAAACCAAGAAAAAATCATGTGTTTAGGAGATGACACCCCCCCCCCCACTCCCCTGTTATGTCAACCTAGGTATTACCCAAAGGTGATTAGTATTTGGTAATTAAGGTCATTTGCATTTAAAAAAAGATTGCATCAGATTAGGAAAATAGGCACATAATACATACATGTGCAATTTTGTAATAAACTTGAATGATTATGGAAACAAGCGCGAACCGTGTACATGTATTTCAGAAGCAAACTAAATTTAGGAGCAGTGTAAAAGGGTATTAGATTCTGTCTAAGGGAAATGATGAGTTCCTTCTTAGCCATACCGGTTACCCATTTGAGGTGGACATGCATGTTGTAGGCTATTTTCAATCTAGATTAAAATGTAATTTAATAGATTATTAAGAGATTCTTGAAAATGTAATGTTTAATTAAATGAAATGTATTTTTAAAACTACAAGCGCATGTAATATGTTCTGAAATTTATTCCCCAAGCTAAAGTCCTGTATTTACTGAATTAGATGCGAAGAGCTTATACCGCATTCAAAACATCACGCAGCAACTAATCTATTGAGCTGCAAATGATTTATGAACCATCTTTAAATGTCAGGCCAGAGAGGATGTAGATAACAGCAAAGATGTTTTATGAAAGTGAGCAGGGAAGTAATAAGGATGGGCACTTATTACCCAATAATGATCTACTCGTTGAATTTTATCAGGTTGACAAAGATGTTGCTGCCTAGTTAATGGCTATATACAGCTACCTGAATTATTGAGACTATTTTATTTGGGAGAGGGGGGGGGGGGGGTCCAGACTGAGTTTGTAGTGATGCCTCATTAGACAGAACATGAAATATGACACGTCTAATAATTCATTTATGCCCAAAGCACAATAATTCTTTACTGAAATAAGGATGTGTTCCAGATATGACAACTTGAATGTCAGATCTGAATGTGAAATGTATTGCATGAAATCAAGCATTTAGCCCCAAACCCCCCAGAAAACTACATTATTAAAAACAAAAAATGTAAGATGATATATATATTTTTCTCAATTTATTCATGTTGTCCCAAAAAGTTGTTTCTTATCTTTTTCAAAAGGGAACTCTATTCCTTAATCTTGAAATGATGATCTCTTCACAAGGGAAATGAATTGAGTGGCAAAGAAGTTGAAGAAATAATGTTCTCGAGTCTGCTTAATAATCATTTGATATGAATGTATGTACCAAATGAATGACCAATTAATAGGGGAGTCGGATAGTAGAATGATGAATTAGTATTTGCGCTCACAGGCAAGTTTAATTCATTTTCTCTGTCCAGTTGTTGCATTGTTAATTCTCAAGCAGAATTGTGAATCATTAATGCTCATTTTCAGTATAATATATGAAAAAGATTTGTTTGTGTACCTAAATATGGCATTGTATACTTACATTGTCAAAAATGTTGATTCACTGTTTTAGTGTCAGGTTAAAGTAACCTGTTTGTTGAAATCTGCAGAGGACTGAAGTCACTGATTGTTCCTGATGAATTCAATTTAAACTAAACCAGGGCAGTAAATCTCCCCTGTAATATATCCTAATGTATAGCCAAGAAGGAAAGAATTCAGGGGGAATGGTATGTGGTAATAATATGTGGGTTTTCTCCCAAATGACTGGGGTTATAAATAGACTGGAATTCATTTGTTCATTATTGGCGAGCTGTTCTGATAGCATATGTTACTATTGATATATATTTTTAGTTGCTACTTGAAGAGTATACTTCATACATTTTGGTTTTCTATCAAAGTGGTGGAAATACATGTACCGGTACTCGTCAGTTAATTATTAAAGAAAGAATAAAGTGCAAAATGATATGAATATATCAAAGGGGCCCCTCCTTTATTTGTATAGCACCATTCATGTCATTCATGCTCATTACAAACAATGATTATGTTGAATAAATAAGCATGTGTGGTAGTCCTAACAACTGCAATACTAGTACATCATTCTAAAACAAAGAATCATTAATCAATTTAACGTTAACAATATTAAAATCGAACAGCTTTGACTACTGTATGTTATGCACATAAGAACCCGAAACAAACAGGTATTCTGTGCTTGCTGTGTGCTTTCTTCAGGTTGGAAAGAAGGATGTCTTATTACCTCTAGGCTACTGTATTTTGTCAAACATTGGCCTCATACCTTGTTGTGCACTGTGGTCTCCAGTGGCGCGCGGAGGCATTGAATCAGTCTGTCCTGTTGAAATCATGTGTCACTACTTGTTTATCCTCTGCCTGACAGGGGAAAACTGTATGCCCCAAACAGGATGAACGTCGTACCTTTTTTTTTGCCCGGGTCCTGTAAAAAAAATAGAAATAGATGGAATGCATCATAGAGATGAACTGGATGTTAAGAGATAGTGAGCAGGGGCTCCATCTATGTAGTGTGATACATGTTGATGTACCTTCAAGATTCAAGATTATTTCCTTCCTTTAAAAAAATTAATCAAGTACGGTATTATTGTTAATGAATGGAATAGAGGAAAGAAGACTGGATACATCACTATTTGTGCTCCTAATTTTGTTTTACAATTTCTTTCTTTACAAGATGCATCCATTAAAATATAGGTTTAAGACCAAAGGTACATGTACACGTAAGCTTAATAAAGAACAACACATGATAGGATGGATGTTTCCCAAGTGCAATAATGTCCTTTCATTTAGAGGAAGGCGTAGCCACAAGATGGTAACATTCAAATTACATTTGTCTCAAGAAAATTATTTAAAATTACACCAATTTGCTTTTGTATGAACTCGGTGGAAACCATACCCGCAGGTAGTGAGAAATGTGAATTAGTAGGCAACATAGTGGTAATCTCATGTTTTTCTGCGGTTAATCCCTACCTTCATTTCCAATTTCCTTAAATAGCCTGACTAGTGGGTGTGTGGCTTATAAGCCGTGTGCACTCAGTGTATGTAATCCTGTATACTATTGGGTGGCAAAAGCCCACGAGTTGGGTCCTAAAGGACACATTAATCATGAATGTCACGAGACAAGTTATGACTTTGAAATGAATAATGAAGTAGCTTTTCTGCATGAATTATTCTGTCTGATGTTGGGATGACATCCTCTTTAAAGGGATTCATGTAATTCACTTTATTGTATGCAGCAGATCCATGCAGATGGGAATACAAATACAGTAAATGAAATTTGTTCTAACCAAAAACAAAAAAATGTGCGCACTAAAATTGTGTTGAAATTTCTTTGATGCATGAAGTCTATTAGCTATGAAAATGTTGTGATGAGTATAATATACAAAAGTGCAAATTTCCAGTTTCTCACTGATATTGCAAAGTTGCCAATTTGAAATTGCACTACTCATTTATTATGATTCAGAAAGGTTTCAGATCTTCATCATTTTCTTTCTGTTTTGAATCCATAATTGCATTAGGGATCTGTTCTATTCATCATCATTTTTTAGAGAGAGAGTGAGTCTAAATATATGTATGGAGTACTTATTCTTCTTCAAAGAAATATTTTGAGTCATACAGAGTTGGTTTAGAAAATCAGATACATGTGCATTAGACAAGTCTAGATGGAAGACTTTGCTTCTACTGAAGATGTAGAATGGAAACTGAAAGTCTCTATTATGATATGCTTGTGCATTTATGTTCCAGGCATACTGGATGTAATATTCCTTATGATAATAAAATTGCTTTCAAAGGTAGTTGGATTTTTTTTCAAGAAGATTAATCGTCATTAATTGTTTCATGTTATAATTCTCTTTTTTGAAATTTGAGTTGAGATATACATGTAACTACAAGTGAATAAACTACAAAAAGGAATCCTCTTTATAGATTACGAGAAGTTTATGAATTGTTTTTCCAAGTGAATTTAATCTGACTTTAAATAAACACCAGTTATATGACATACATGTAGCATGAAGGCTTGTTTTATAATGAGCAATCCTGCCAGATATATTCTGAAACGTGTATGATTTTAAAATTATTGTAAATCATCGTTTCAGGATTGGGAAAAGGGCTGATGCAAGTATTTTGATTTGTCCTTTTGCATCTAGGTACGGATTGGCTTTGTGAGTGAAGAGGACTCGAAGGCTGTTACCAAGGTGATTAGAGACCGCATCGGTACCGTATGGAAGAACAGAGAAAAGCGAGAGAAGGAGAGGCAAGAGAAGGGCAAGCTGGAAGAAGACAAAGATAGCAAAGGTACTTATACAGAAATAATCACACAATGATAGTACACATTTTTCTATTTTTTAGAAGTAAGTCCAGTTGTGCATCTGAAAATGTAAGGTTAGTTTGTTAAATTGTTGAAGATTATTAAAGGTAAAGACCAGTATTGGAAATGCCCATATTTCAAAAAATGAAATGGAAGCTCTCATTACCAATCATGTGAAAGAATATGTTTTGACTAATACATGATGATAAAAAATTTGCCGGGAAACCGCCTACTTATTGATATATTTGGTAAATTTATTTCTCTCATGGTCTGTGAGAGATATAGGGTTGTCCCATATACATCTTTCTGTGTATAGTGCTTGTAACTTTACGAAGAAGGGGCCAATTTTTTTATCATTTTGATGATTCCAGAACCTTGCAGATGCGGATGCTAGATGATCAACCTTTTCTGATCGATTCCACAACGTTTCTTTCACAATGCAATCGCATGACCATAACTGGTCTTTACCTTTAAAACAATTTTAGAATGTTTGTATTTGGTGATATGGAAAGATGATATAGCTTCTAAATTACACAAACAAAAAACAGAACTCATAGGTAATGACAAGTTATGGAAAACCTTATGATATGTAAGAAATTCTTTTGTTACCTTCAAAAAGAAGTACTGAATTTGTCCACAGAAATGTTAATTTCACAAAACTAATCATTGTGAAGTGTAATGAAAACAATGACAATTTTAAGAAGATAGTATAGTCTTTTATATTTTGCTTCATATTCTGTCATATATTTTATTTTTGCAAAGCATATGCTGAAACCTCAAGGAGAAAGTGTTTAGATCAGAAATTCTATGTAAAAATATGTTGGTAGCCCCACTCCTACCTACATGTACATGTAGAATTTTTTTTTTACAACAGACATTAATGAATTTTAGAGGCTAATTGTCTTAGAAAGTAATAACCCCCCCCCCCCCCGTCCGATTTAATAAATGGTTTTAAGAAGATAGTATAGTTTTTTTTTAATATTTTGCTTCATATTCTGTCATATATTTTATTTTTGCACAGCAGATGCTGGAACCTCAACCACAGATAGTGGAATGGGTTTTTCAGGGTTGTCTTTAACTGGAATGTCGAATGCTTCTGAAGGTTCTACAAGACTGGTGTCCAGTCAAGTACAGAATTCATCATCAACACAACAACCCATCAGCCAACAACCTCATAGCCAATCTCAAATTCAGCAACAACAGGTTCCATCTCACCCACAACAAACTCAACAGCCCTCTTCCCAACAGTCCGTAGCAACTCCGCAAGTCCAACAGCAGCAGGGCCAACCACAGCAGCCACAGCCGCCACAGCAACAGCAGCAACCTCAACAGGTTCAGTCTCAACCTGTGATGCAGCCACCTCAATCTGTCCAGCAGCCTTTACCACCACAAGTCCACTCTCAAACCCATTCTCAACCCCAACTAGTATCTCAGTCTAGTCAGCAACCGTCTACCACTGCTGTTCTACCACAGCAGGATCAAGCTCAGCAACAACCCATGCAGCCATCAGCTCAGCAACCTCCTATTTCCAATGTGCAGCAGCAACCTACAATTCCAGCCCAACAACAGGTAAATAGCTTTCTTTATCAATTAAAATATTTGAATATGATGATTATCTTGAAAAGATGAAATTAATTCTGTTTTTTTTATATTAATGCTTCACATATTAACGCAAAAATATGATTTAAAGCATTTATTTTTTAAATGTGTTGTTTGCGTAGAAGCATCTTACATATGAACATTTTATTGAGTGAGTTTCAACACAGCTGCAAACAACACATGTGATGGACATATTCACTTCACTAACACCATGATTTATAATTAATCGGGATATTGGTCTACCTATTGTAATTTGGACTCGTAACTCTGACCCACTTTAAGATTTCACTGGGTAAACAATTTTATTATTTGTATTGTCTACTGTATTTCAATCGAGCGGCATGCCCTCAAGTGTACAACGTGTGCCTCCCACTCATCTTCCAGCTTCAGCTGTATGCAATGCGTGTATGTGTGTATGGTTGTGTGTGTGGATATGCTGCGTTTCAGAACATTATTGTACAGAAGAAAATGCTGTGTGTAAAAATTCAATGATTGTTGAAGCCGTAACAAGCCATTAGATGTTAGACATACATTTGAACTCTAGAGGCTGAATATTAAGGTGTAAAGGAATTTTTATCATTCTCTTAGGAATAATTGGTATGGCCGGTAACACAGCACTTATTACATCTGTATTGTGTCGTCCCATCTATTTGTAGACTGATCACATAATCCTATCAAGTCCTTGAGATAGACGTGCATATTTGCATCGTGAGTCATATATTGACAAATCTGCTTGCCTCAGAGCTAAGCCCTCCTTTTTTTTTATTGCTTTACGTCTGGGTTTACGTTTTACCTCTAGAATCATAACATATACACGTTTCAGTTTATGCCTTTGATGCAATCCCCCATTGATCAATGCACATTTGTAGATTGGGCTGCAAGGCTGCAGACATGACAGATTGTCTCTCATGCACTCTGCGATGATGCACATGGCATTAGTGTGCTATGCTAAACTATATGATATTTGAGGTGCATGTTTATTTAAAGATTCGAAAAGACGATTGATCTGGCTATCTAGCGACCTTCGTTTTGAATCTAATCAAACATTGAGAAATGGAAAGCAGTATTTCCTGGTTGGACCAAGGAGTGATGGTAACTCCTTGGTTGGACGCAGGCATTCCTAGTCCGCAGGGGAACTAATATCAATTGATCTCCTTCCTAGGTTACTGATGTTTAATATTTGAGATGCGGTTAGGATGATTAATGTTCCTAGATGTAAAAGGTGACTTCCTCCAGGAGGAGTTGAACTTGATAGGCGTACCTACCCTGCCATGTTACCACAGGAGACATACTAACCAGAGTTTAACATCCAACCCTGGATGGATGTACAAGGGAGTGGCTTCAAGTTCAAGCAAATGCATAGAAGATGCTTTTCACTTTTCAAGCTAAACGATAAGCTCTAGGGTTTCACGGAAGAGAGATCTTTAGCTGCCTATCCGCAGACCCAGACAGCACCTTCAAATGAAAAGAATGAGATGCATAATTGCACACATGAAATCCATTATGGGAAATAATCTGAAGACTTAGGGGCTGGATGGAGGAGGATGTAGGCCTAAGCATATTCTCCTTTAACTTCTAAAGAACAACATTTACTCATCAACTGTGGGTGTAATTCAGAGAAAACGTAGATTAGATAGATCAAGTGTAGTTAGACTCATTTGGAGGCTCTGCGAAGCACCATTAAAGAAATTTACAGCAGACTTATTTTACAGACCTGAATTATTTGGTGCCATTTCTTTATTTGTGAGAAACAAAGATTCATTAACTGTAATTCATTATTCTGCCGTCTATTTGAAGCTGCCTACGTGTGACTTTGTACACAATTTCTTCAAATGTATTTGAAAAAGAATGAGGTTGGTTAAACTAACTGGACTTCTTTATTAATGCTTTTAAAACTTGGCTTAGATCCATTCAACCAGAAATATTTTAAAAAGGTCTTTTAAAGATTATACTGCATATTTTTCCTTGTTTGTTTTTAAATGTCTTTTAGGTACTTTACTTTTATTTCTGTAATGTAATGATAAAGAGAGATATTCTTCATTTATTATTTATATACATTTTTTTGTTTTGAAATTTCTCCTTAATATACACATGTTTGTTCCTTGTTTTAATAGGGTATGGTTGGGATTATGTATGGAGTTCAGAACACCCCCTCCCCCAACTTGAATATGGATCAATTACATTTAATACCTGAAGCATGTTTTTGCTATTTAAAGAAAAATGTGATTCTAACATATCACTCTTATGAATTTATAGTTTATTGTTTAGATGAATGAGAAGTGCTTTGTCTTGAGTATCTTTTTTTTCTTTACATGTATACAATGCTACTGTTTATATAATCACTCATTGGATATCTGTTTATATTCATTTTCTTTTGATTCATTATCTTCATTTTAAACTCGCAATGGGTCCAAGTTTATCCCCATCTTTAATACAATTCCTGCTTTCTATTACCCGGTGCTTATGCTGTACACATTAAGAAAGACATTTTCACATTTTATAAAGCACTTCAGCCAACACTGTTTAAAAATGTTAGCAAACTTAACGGATGTGCACTTTTTTTTAAAGAAGTGATAAAAGAATTGAATGATGAAAAAAAGAGAATTTACAAATCAAACCTTTGAGAGTTTATTCTGAGCACACATTTTGTGTACACTGGTCTGTTCCAATTTACTCACCCTGTGCACAATGTTCAATAGGACAGTTGTTAGCCGCCCAAACTGTCAACCTAAAACACAGGTCTAGACTTGTGTTTGGGAGATGAAAAATCATTAAAGAAAAGTGCATGTACAGTGTTTGTTTTCTTTCTTCACCATATGGATGTTTCAGAGGCAGCAAGTAAATTGCAAGACAGACACAAGGTGTGTTTGTTTTGGCTCCAGTTACCCCTAATGTTAACTTGCAGTTTGTGGATTTAGGGACATCACTAAGGGCATGTAAGAGCTGCATAAAACATTCAGTGAATTGATGACATGACATCTCAAATTCCAATCAATACTTTTGAGCTGTCTTGCAGCTTTTTATGTATTTTTGTTTTCAACTGTTGTATGTTTTTATTATCTGAAGTGAAATCTGGATTTCAACCCATTCCTTACAGGAACCATACATGTGGTTCATGCAGAGCTGCCAAGTAGTACGAATTTGCCGTATTCCGTACGGAAATTAACTTAAAATACGGACGTACGTTTTTTTTCATGTTGAAATACTGGGGGGGGGGGGGGATCGTTTTTTTGTTGTCGACAGGTCCGTGTTAAAAAAAACCCACGCGGGAAGGACTTTCATTTAAATGCGAGGTGCAGTTGAATGTGTAAGATCATTAATGTAAAATTTAAAAAAACAGTAAAGGACCTAGGATAGAACCTTGTGGTACGCCATGTGTAATAGAAGAAAAATTGGAGGAATTGTTATTTTAAACTTAATATTGAGATCTATCAGAAAGATTACTTTCAAACCAAGATGACAGATAAATTTGAGTGTTGTTCTAGTTTCCGAGTGGTGAGTCCACACAACGATTACTGAGCTGGGAGACATTGGCAGGCATAGCGCCAAGTGAAGGGACATAAATCGAAACTTTAATTTTTTAATTTTTTTTTTGTATCTGTGTAAAAGACGCACCCCCGACTTTGGATTTTTTTCGGCGGCAAAAAAGTGTGTCTTATACACAGAGATTAACGGTAGTGTAGATCTAGTACAACACAATTGTTTACATGTGGGACGGAAATGGAATGGAATTTTTTCACATGGAAAAAATATTGATTTTTTTGGGTCAAAATACTGATTTTGGGGGAAAAGAATACTGAAAATGTAAAATACAACTTGGCAGCTCTGTTCATGTATTAAGTCTAGAATTCACTTGTCATCCATTAGGACATCCATTTAATTTCCTGTACATGTTTATTTTTTTCTTTAAATTACAGAGTCAGCCTCAACAAATACAGCAGCAGCCTCCACAGCAACAACAATTACAACAACATCAAATACAACAACAGCAGCAACACCAAGCACAGCATCAACAGCAGCAGCAGCAACCACAATCAACCCCTCACTCTCAATCTCAGCTGCAGCCACAACCACAGCAATCTGTTCAGCAACCAGTACAAACCCAGGCCCAGGTGCAGGTGCCAACCCAGCTGCCACAGTCCCTACCATCCCAACAGCAACAGCAGCAGCAACAAGCTCAAACCCAACAGGTATTGTGTTAACCTTATTTCTGTTACTCTACTTTTCATTTAGTTTTGGATATTTTGTTTTTTACTCTGATGTTTTGGTTGCATGACCTGCATGGGACTAAAGGTTTATTTATTTGTAGCCTAGGTGAACAAACCTAATACTTTGAATATATCTAAATTAGATGTTACAAGTTGTACCTTTCATGCATGAGAGATATAAAAGGTCAGTTATCTCATTTGGAAATGTACCTATCAAATGGTAGGAATTAGTACCATTTTGTTTTTTTCTTTGCACCATATTTTATTTCTGTATAGAGTATGGAAATAAATTTGAAGAAACAAACAAACAAAACCCAACAACAACATAAGCCAGGCAGCTCTTCATGTGTTGTTATTGAAGACAAGTGTTTATATTCACAAGGTCAAGTTCGCTCTTGTTTTGAGAACCTCTTTTTTAGACAGGTTCAAAGATAGATATTACAAGGCATGACATACATGTAGCAACATCTATGGATTAGACAGTTGTTTGTGCAGAGTACCCCCTTTGTTGCTCTTGGTGGTCTGAAGGTTGTTCAATTGAAGTTGACAGTAGCCAAACTTGTTTTCAACGTCTGGCTCATCCTTAAAACCCAGTATATGATGTGATACCGAAAATAAATAGAAATTGACAATAGCACACAATTTGAGAATTTAGGAATAGACGAAATGGGGTAGGAGTCTTAGGATTTGTCTATTGTTGAATTCTACAATAGGTTTGGAAAATATTGAATTTTGTAAGTAATTGATCAAGTATCAAGTTTTCATATTTCTTCCTAGCTTTTTAACAATTTTCCGTTAGAACGTGATTTTGTAATGAACATAGGGTAAGGAGGTAATGTAATGACTATGATAACAACATGATAAAAGTACTTTTTGTTGGGGGAGGGGGATAGGGTCAGAGGATGGTGTTAAAATTCAAGGTAATTTGGAGAAAAAAAGAAAAAGAACATTAAGCAAAAAATGAAGTTCATGTGCAACCATAGCTTACATACCCTTTTCCATAAAGCAGAGATAAAGAAGAACTGGTACCTGTAATACCACAAAGAGCGGAAACATCTGAAAGTACATTCATCCTGTTAAAAATGATAAGAGGAGATAACATCTCATGAAAATCATTCGATATAACAATCAGCTTACCATAGAATGTTCACAGGATACATAACAAGCTTTGTTTTTTCATTGTGATGTGCTGTAATAACAAGTCAGAGGCCACACCCCTTTCATGTACAGTATGTGCGCAGTCACCGATAATAACGATGTCTGGGATTTAGGCAAATATGAACCTCCAAACATGAGCCTCAAAAGAGAATGCATGCTGTTTTATTGTGCATTGATTTGAATTTATTGAAAATTTCATCATACTCTTTCATGTGAACAGAAGAAACTTCTTAACAAAATAGATCTGTAAAAAATGCTGAATGCAATTATTAAGAAATGGTTTGATATTGACTTCATGACTTATATGAATGTTTTAGAAGTAGGTCAATGCTTAGCCTCTTTAGGGAACATAGCAATAAAATAAGGAATAACTGGCACCCCCCCCCCCCCCTGGCATCGCCTTTGTGTCTTAAAGTGTGTCAATCACAGTAGGGGGAGGAGAAGGAAAATAAAACTCCCATTGCCAAAGTCAAATTGTATTTTAGGGGTAAGGATTAAAGAAAGGTAAAAAACAATGTTGTTGTAGGTAACCTGTAGATGAACCATTGTTGAGGTTAGAGTACTTTTATGAGTGATCATGATGATACAAACGGAACCCTGGCAAGAGGATGATAGGACATTTGCAATGTGACCTTCAGTCTGTAGGGTGGTGTACTGCTCTGTCAAATATGTTTTGGGTGATGTCAGTGAAGCTGGAAAGCTACTGTTCCTAAACAACTTTGTTCCCTAGTTACACGGTCATGCTTTGGCCCTCTAAAAAGTTTACACGTTGGACTGCTACATCGACTGTGTCATCGCACAGTCATCTTATTGCTGCATTTTATGTCTAGCCTTATGACTGTCATTAAACATCCTGAAACACTCCATGATAATTATAGGCAACAGATTTGTTTTTATTTGGAATTTATGCAATTACTCCCAAAAGTTAGACAAGGTATGGTATAAAAGTATTATTGGGGAAGAGAATTTTATGCACTTGGTAAAAGAAAAGTAGAGCATTCACAGCTAGGGCTTGATTACAGCAACATGGTATTCAAGCTGATGTAAAATAATGCACACAATTATAAGACTGAAAATGCTTTTAATTGAGTCTTCTTGTTGAAAGATTTCAAGTATTGATAGAAGTGTCAAGTTGTTGAAACTACCCTGATTAAAAGAGATCACATTTCCTTTGGATTTGTACATTATAAAACATGAATGGATAATGGGATTATTAAGGTTATTATCTGATAAGGGCCGTCTTATATTAATGACAAGACTGTAGTAGTTTCATACTGTGTAATATAAATGTTGCTACATGACATAGATCAGACACTGATTACATGGTCCATAAAGTGAAGGTTAATCGGTCAAGCACCATAATCCAAAGGCATTCGTATATGTAGGAAACAACATTGATGTAGATCAGGATGGCACGGGCCAAGACTCTTCCAGCTGCACTTGGCTAATCTGACAAAAAAACTTCCCGTCACTGGTTGGCGGATATGAGGGGGAAACCTGCAGCACTCTCAAAGACAATAGTCAACACAACACCAAGGACATATTGGCTCCCTGAGTCAACACACCGTTAAACCACCTAATGGTGATCATGTACTCTGAGTGTACCACGTGACAATCTTCAAGTGTGCTCCTATCCTGTGTTTTACAAAGACAGACGGATTTCCAATAGCTGGTGTCCACCGTATCTACTTAAACACATTTCATTGGAGGGAAGTTGATATCGGTGCAGATAGTTTTGCCAGAAACTGTTTGTTTCCAAGGTTAACCACGGAGCCACGCAACGGTGTTAGGCTTCAAGGGTTATCTGGGGTTACCACCATAGTTCTGTTGTGTCTCCCTCGTGTGGTGGTGTTTTAGGGGACCTGGTGCAATTCCTAAAGGTATAAAATCCTAGTAACATCACCTCCCAAGCTCAAAACTTAGTGAAGGAAACAGGAGATATGGTATTTAGGTGACATTTTGTGATAGTGATCATGCTGGAGTTGGCAAAATGATTTACATGTTAACTCTTGGACTGTACACTTGCACTGTGTATTATAAATCATGGAAGGTGAGTGAAAGTATAAATACTTGATCCTTTTTTGCGGGGGAGGTTTTTTTTTCTTCTTTGTTTTTAGGATTATAGGGCCCAGTTAAATACAAAATATCAGAAACAACATCCTAAGATGTATGACAAAATTGAAAAATAGCAAATCAAATGTGTTGATTTCAAAACTGATTGTAGCTTGTAAGTCTTTTAATGAAACAGGGCCCAGAAAAACAGATTCATTGGTTGTCAGCAAGTGTTATAAACAAGTTATTCACCGAGTTGTTCATGAAAGAAGCTTTACTTGATTCTTTCAAACACAGAAATAACATATTTGACTCAACCATAAACTATAAGCAGAGGGATAAGTATCCTGTAAGGTTCACATTTAATAAGGAAAGATAGTTTCACGTAGAAGGATTGGTTTAGATCTTGTGCACCCATTAATACATTCGGGTGTTTTTTGTACTCAAATCTAATTTACATTAACTTTTTGCAGTAATTCTGAAAGAGGTAGGTGGTACGGTAGTAAGATAGGAATGAAATGACTTTTTGTTTTGCATGAGAGTGACATCATTGTCATTTTTTCTACCTCCCACCTCTTACCTCCCCTCTAACTCTGCTAAAGTTGCCAAGTCTGTCCCATATTAGGCAGGTATTATTGATACAGAGATCAGAAAACAATGTGTTTTATCATGAACCTCTTTTGGCTATGATCCAACTATATAGGTTTATCAGATAAATGAGTAATTGAGAGCATGAATCTAGTTAAAGGCAATATTGATACTGCCCCTCTTGCCTATCCAGCCCGTCCATGTAGAAAATGGGTCTTCCTCTTGTTGATCCATCTTTCATTAAACTAATAAGGCTGGCATTTTGCATGTATGAGTGGATTATCGTACTACCCAATACTTTGTGAAGTTGAAGGTTGATGATACTACCTGTACATCAAAAGGCCTATGTTGTGGTTTGCCAAAAGCACCGTTTCTTTGTCAGCTCCCCCCCCCCCCCCTTAATCAAGCGGAGAGATCAAATCTGTGTCAAAATTTTCCATGGATGTGTATTAGAGATTAAACTTATGACATCAGTGCTTGACATGGTAATCAAGTAGATTTGTATCTATGAAGCATGAATGCTACTTCATGATCATGCACATGGATGTACCAAGGACTTAAGTCCCTACATTACGATGAATAATTTTATTTTGGTAAGGTATTATGACAGAATGTCCCATTTTTCACTTTTGTTTGTTGTTTGTCGCCCACGTGTCACCCTGTGGAGGCATGCCAATTTCTGTGAAAAGACAACAACAAAAAACGCCCTTTTTTTTCTGACCAGTGACTGGTCATTGTTCGGATCACACATCATTTCTTGCATGGTATTCCAACGCAAATATGTCTCCCATTCAACCATCAGTTTTTACTTGTTAGTGTATCAAGAAAAGTTTTCAAAGAATACAAAGAAGTTATTGTATACTTCAAAATGAAATATTAATGATTTTGTGAAGTCATGGCAACCAAAGTCAGAAACACTGCATCAAAAAAATACATACTGCTTTCAGTTTAAACAAAGTCAGGACTTCTAAGTTTTCAGTGGATAAAAGTAGGAAGTTAGCAAATTAGTGCTTGATTGAGTATTCTATGTGCCCTTGGAACACGTTTTATCTCTGAATTGTAATTACAATTTGGGTTAGTTTATGTTTATTAGGGAGGATTGTCAGATCAGGACAATTGTTTATGTCTGTAAACTTTTTGATTTGGCGGCATTGGGGGCATTGGCATGCATTCTATGAATGATAGAAAAATAAAAGTGTATGGAAACTAGTAATTCTAAGCTTATATAATCATGTCAGCTAATATTAATCTTGTATCGAATATTGAATTACTTGATATTTTTCTAATTGTATGAAATATTTTTCAGAGCCCCTCGAGTTCCATGAATGGTCAACATTCATCCCTGTCGTGGTTTGTTCCGATGTCTCCTCCTGTGTTTTATCAGCAACCCCAGGTTTATTACTTTTCAGATTTTATTGAACTACATTTATTAGCTACAGATATACATGTACATGTAACTCATTCAATCTCTAATACAACCAAATATTTATCATAATTTGACACTTTCAAGTAACTTCTAATTGCATCTGAATATATTTGTCTTCCCCTTTAGAACTCTATTAAGAACACTTGAAATATATTATGAATACATTTTTTATCATTCATACACATACATATAGCATACACTGTATATATATATATATTTTTTTCACAGGGTATATGTAAACTTGACAACTCACTAATATTCATTGATCCTTTATTTCCACCCTTCTCTCTCTCTCTCTCTCTCTCTCTCTCTTTCTCTCTCTCTATGTCTCTGTCTCTTTCTCTTTCTCTCTCTCTATGTCTCTGTCTCTTTCTTTCTCTCTCTCTCTCTCTCTCTCTCTCTCTCTGTGTCTGTCTCTGTCATCCTTCTAAATTCACCTATCTGTCTCTACTTCTCCTCCATTCTTTTTCCACATCTCTCCCTTTGAATGTTGTAAGAAAAACATTATGAACAGTATTATCAAAATTCATCTGATGTCATTACAATTTTATTGTAGAATGGCCATTCACAGGCACACATTTCAATTTGGCTGATAATCTTTTCATTATCAAATTCAAAGAATTCCATAGTTATGTTGAATCAAATACTTCATATACAAACCACCTAGTGCAAATGCATAGAGTAGGCCTACATTGATAGAAGTGTTTACAGGAAACCTAGGACAGTTTAGTGCTATTAATAAAGGTCAGTAGTAAGAAAATAACAGGAAGATTGTAGACTCTTTTCAGACATGAAGACAATTTTATATAACCTTATCACATTTCATATATATGCCAAAGTCAGAATCCTACAACATCGAGCAGTTTTTTTATAAAATTTCCATCTCTCTCAAACATGACATTCTGTTTTGAAATGTCCTTTCATGCAATCATTGATCTGTCCAGAGTTGTCTTCACTTTCTTTTAATGGCATGAACTTTTCTAATTTGCATGTTGATTCTATTCCTTCGTTTGGTTGCTTATGCTATAAAGCATCAAGCCTTTACATGCAGCTTTTGGGATTGATAACATTTGCATAATGTTCTTTTGGTGTTGGCCCATACTGATTGCCGCTGTATAGTCAGAGCATATATTTGTGTTGCCTTTGCCTAATTCTCATCCGTGTAACTTCAAATGATTTTGTTTAATCCTAATACTTTTTGTTTTCACTCACATATGATACTTTTGATACTTTTTATGTTTTTTCTTATGCAGGCATTGAATTTCATGCAGAAGTGAACTTAAAGCGTACAGTTAACAACTAAATTATTCATACCCCTTGTGAATTTGATTTTGTTTTTTCCTTTTTCTTTTCATAACTGAAGAAATAAAGGTGGACTGGTTGAATATGGGCCTTTGCTGAATACTTTTAGATGTATGCTTTATTATGTCACATTCTCAAGAAGTATGAATCTGGACAAATCAATTTTTACATACTTAAAAAATTACAAAAATTGTTAAGGCTATGAATAATTTAGTTGTGAACTGTATATAATAGAATGAAATCTAAGTTAGATGAAGAAATAGTAAATTAACAAAGTAATGATAGTGTCATTGAAAAGTTGATTTTTTACATTGTATCCATAGTAGAATGTGATTTATTCATCAATTTTTTTCTTCAAACTGTAAATTCTTAAAATCAGTGATTAGTACTGGATAACTAGATACATGGATGTCTTTTCATCTAGAATTCCACTTTATTTACAGCATTTATATGAATCTATATCTAGGCTCTTAAGATAAACTCCAGTACTGATAAAAAAAAAAAAATGATTCTCACAGAATCAAACGAAACTTACACTGAATGTTCAAGATTACAAATAAATGACATGTGCCAAACAACTTTGGAAGAAAATGTATACTGGCTGAGTAATGAGCATAGAAAGACAAGGAAACCAAGGTAGTACTAGCCCCGACACCATGTGTGTTGTCCCATATATAGCTTTCTATGTGAGTGCTTGTTACTTTACCAAGACTCGGCCAAATTTATTATGATTTTGATGACTCCAGAACCTTGCAGTGCACACCAATACTTACATGCTACATGATCAACTGTTTCTTATCCTTTCCACACCTTTTCTTTCACAATGCAATCGCATTACCAGTACTAAAGTTTATCTTTAAGTGTACATATTCATTCTGCATTAGTTAGCTTAGTGTATAAAACATCTTCTACAGACTTCTATTCTAGCTATCTCAAGAAGTATTTGACTCATCTCTCTCTCTCATAAAAATATATTAATAAGTAACATGCTAGATTTTCAGAGGGGAAACATGCTACACGTACCTCCCTCTGGTGACATTTCATATTGTCATTTCATTTCTGTGTGGTCTTTAGTCAATATGACAAGGTGACAATCAAACATGAAAGAGGCTTGTATGAAGCATGCAATTAATATGTCCCTTCACAGAGGTATAACCAGAACAAAATGAGTCTTTGAAGATAAGGATTATTTGAGAAGTTTTATAATGTAGCTTACAGTATTCCGTGTTGATTAAACCCAGAAACATTGTATATATTTGTTTCGGTTTGAAGTGAATGATGAGCGGGTGGGTGGAAGAAGGTGTTTGAATCACACAAGTTTATTTGAGGAGTCCAGGTGAGGTGTATGTACCACCTACCCCATCACCAGCCCCCCCATCACCAGCCCCCCATCACCAGCCCTCTCACCACCAGTAACGCCACTGGTTTTACATGAACAAGTGTTGACTGAGGTTCAGTTTGAGCATGTCAGTCTCGGCAATGTAGACATTTCCTCTCTCCAGACATGACTATTTGCTCAATAGCACATGCACATGAGTTAACATATAGTTTGCCCCCCTCATGGGACCTGGCATTTAGGGAGTTGTCGCCTCAGCACACCTCTTCTTGAAGAGTGTGTGGGCCGTGCGGTGAGGTGAGAGATAGGGGGCAGTGCAAAGGGTTGGGAAGACACTAGAGGTAGATCTCCCTTGTATCTTGAAATAAAAGTTACATCATGCTTTTTGCTTTTGGCTGCAAAATCATAGAGCTGACTTTGCAAAAGCTGAAGGTTCCTTCTTTTCCATGCGGTTTCAAAGGAATGTTCATCTTTTTCTTAAAGGGATCATTTAACAATGTTAAATCTGAGATACATGGTCCTACATGTACTAGTGTCTCTGATATGGTGTAATATTGAAGCCCTCAAAAAATCGCGCTTCAACATGATCAAGAAGTGCCTCAGCGAACGGTTTTCAAAATTTGTAATTCCAATCATTAATATCTTGATAATCAGCCAGGCGATCGGCTTGTAAAAGTCATGGAGTTCCTGACTGACCTAAAGGTTTATAATTATCATTGCAGCATGAGCTAAATCAAGGATTATTTCTAAAGGATCTAAGACAAAGTTACTGAATCCCTTTAAAATGAAGTTATTCTTTCAATTTTACGACAGGAATTTCATAGAGTTGTTCATATTTATTCAAATTCATATTCTGATGATTGAAATATAGAAGATAACAAAGAAAAGTGGCTGTTTAATCGTTATTAATTTCTAGTGTTACCTTATTTTTTGTTTAATTTGAAGCAATTTAAAAAAAAAAAAGAAGGAATTTAAGTACCCATTATTGAAGTACATGTACAAAAGGCATTTTGAGCATGAACGTCTTTAATAGAGTGCTTCGATTACATTTGGCAAGCTCTATAATTCCCCAGTCTGTAGTAAGTTGATCTTTGTTAAACTGTTGAGGGTTGTGGAACTTGTGGTGAGTACTAAGGAGCAGCCCTCTTTCACATGTGCCTCTTCGTCACTGTTGCCCAACCTGACAGATTGGGCATTATGAATCAGAGGGGGAGAAAAATGTAGTTAGTAAAGCACTGAAACTCACCTTGCCATACCAGCAACCAATGTTGGGTTGATGGAACACCCCACCCTCCCCCTTGTAAGCTTGGTGGAGACAACCTTGAGGTTGTTACACAGGTGTTAGGCTATGTGAAAGATAGGGCTAAATCAAAGGAGACGGCAGTATGATGTGACAAAATTGTATTTGTTGATTCTCTTTAGAAAGATTAGGAAGGGAAGACAGATAGCGAGGGTCATTAATACCTTATACATGTATGTGGTTCCCGTCTTTATCAAACAAGGAAGAAAAACATGATCTTTGATTTATATGAGACCATTTCCAGGTCAAGAAACTTTTGGTAGTATGGAATTTATCTTGTAGAAGTAAAACTAAACTAGCATGGGAATAGACTATCCCAAGGCTTTGACGTTAACATGTTTTTCTCCAGCTCTTAAAAGCACTGTTACATTACAGATTATGGATTTCAAAAGGCAAGAGCCATGAGAAATAGCAAAAGCTTTTTCCAGGAAAGGTGATGTAATCATAATATGTGATTAATACATGTATCTGTTGTTCATGACAACATAGTCACTGATTTTGATAGTTTGTTCCATTTCAGGATCCAAATTTTCCACGAAGACTTAAATTTGCAAACATAAGATTACACTAAAACAAACGATAACAGGGGTTAATAGAGGACTTCCTTGTAAGGGAAACTACCAGCAGTTGTATACTTGAGAGATGCTGTTAAGGGTATCAGTGATATCAATATACTTTACAATGTTTTATCAATGTTACTGGATCACTGCTGTACATGAATTTTCGTTGTATTAACAAATACTTTTATTTTCCACTTCTGTCATTAGCAGTTGAACATTCTAACAAAACATTGGTCTTAAAATGCATAAAATTATAATGTCATGTACTTTACATGTTTATCTAATTTTAATGAATAAGAAATATATTTACACAATATTTTATAGTTAGAAGAGTCTCTAGATACCGATCTCTGTTTTCTCTCTCATAACTTTTGGGTTTTTATTTCCGTTTGAAACAAGTCAGTTCATGTTTATTAATTCAGGACTAGCTAATGGCATTCTTATGTTCCTAATATCACTTAAAATAAGCAATACATTGATATATATTCCATTTTACATTTTGAAATCATATGATAACTAGAAGTTTGAATAAAAAGTTCATTTTTTATGGACTTGTAGTTGAAATTGTCTTGAAGAATACATTTTTTGCATGCAATAACCAAAGGAAAGTCAAAACAAATTCCTTGATAGGAAATGTTGTATGTTCATTGTAGGTCAAGTGTAATCATATGATAGTGAAGCTTGCTTGAACATCTCTCAGCTCTTTTTAGTCTATGAACCTTTGATGCTTGTAGTATATGGATAGAAAATCAGCGTACTTAATTTTGTTTGTAGTTGAATTTAAAATATAGGTGGAGTTAATTAGTTGCTTGGAGTTCTCTAAAATTTCCAAAATAAACATTTCTTCCCAACTTTCTTCTTTCTCGTAGTTGTTGATTTAATCTGCAATCGACTGTACTACATTGAATGTCATATCTTATTTATATACGCTTTTTTGTTTCTTCTAGTTTGTGCAGCAGACAGCAAACTATACCCAATTCCCCCAAGGCCAAGCTTATCAGCAATCTGTAAGCCAGGGACAACTCCCACAACAACCTATCCAGCAACCTTTGCAGCAACCTATACAACAGCCATTGCAGCAACCGTCCCAAGTACCTAGCACCCCTCAGAGGACAGCTTCTGATCAACATGCTAAGGTTACAAGAACAGTGTCTGGTGGCAGCCAGCATGCACCACAACCACAAGTGCAGCCACAAGCAACTCAGTCACAACCCATACAACAACAGATGCAGCTGCTGCCACCATCACAGTCAGCCCAGCAGCAGCAACACGCGTCAGTCACCAATACAACATCTGTACTTAAGCAGAGCATTCCTGCTACTCAACAGGTATCTCGGCCTTCATAATTTCTACCTGCACCTTTTGTATCCGATATGAAAATGTGCTAAACCTTGATTTTAAACAAATACAAAAGAAGCAAACAAGTTATTAAAAAAATTAAAAATATGCAAACAAACAAAACAAATGCAGTTGTCAAGAGTAGACAATCTATACTTTAAAATAATAATATTTTTCATATTCCTCAGTTTTGCTATTGTAAATGGGCTAGTAAAGCTACCTACAATCACCACCATTTCATCAAACAATGAGCAATGTCACAATTATATTCTATTTAGTGGTTTTTAATATTCATGATTTTAAAAACCTGAGGACTTGCAACATTGCGTAATACTTTATTCATGCGTTGGTTGAAGACTTTTTTGTTTCCTTCTTTTTTCAAGTCTGGACAACCATCCCATGTCCCTCAAGTGTGTCAGAACAGCGTGCAACAAACCCAACAGCAGCAAATACAACAGGTCGGCCAAGGGCAACCTCAGCAGCAGCAGCAACAACAACAGCAGCAACAGCAGCAGCAGCAACAACAACAGCAACAATTACAACAACTACAACAGCAACAACAACAAGTAAGTGTATCTTTCATTCATTCTCTGCATTTTGGTTTGATTTGGTACTATTTGATCAATGATCCCCGTAATTTTCTCAAAAATTGTAATGAGATTGGAAAAAATTCCAATATGGCTTATGGCACATTGTTCGGAAACTCCAGATAAAAGACAAGTACCGTAAATCTCCGTGTATAAGGCGCACCTGTGTATAAGGCGCACCCCTATTTTGGGGGCAAAAAAAAAAAATCGTTCTTTTTTTGGTTTTTTTTGTTGTTGTTGCCGAAAACCCACGCGGGGAAGGACCTTCATTTAACATCGAGGTGCAGTTGAAGGTGCTGATTTGTGCTTGTGAACTTGTCACAAATAATAGTAACAATAACGTTTTTAGAAGAAAGTGTAATATCATTAATGTGAATTAAAAACAAATAAACAATACAGTACCTAGGATAGGACCTTGTGGTACACCATTTGTTATAGAAAAAAACATTGAGGAATTACATGTATTATTATAAACTACATATTGAGATCTATTAGAAAGATTACTTTCAAACCAAGATGACAGACAAATTTGAGTGTTGTTGTAGTTTCCGAGTGGTGAGTCAACACACTGATTACGGAGCTTGGAGACATTGCCAGGCATAGCGCCATAAATCGAAACTAAAAAAAAAACTTTTTTTTTTCTTTACCTGTGTATAAGACGCACCCCCGAATTTCAAATTTTTTCGGCGGCAAAAAAGTGCGCCTTATACACGGAGATTTACGGTAGAAGGCAAGATAACATGTAATTTTTTCAATTTTTATTTTGAAAGGAAATAAGTTAACAAGCTGTTTTAAAGATGTTTATGTTAGTTTATCTGTGGAGATACATACTTGCCTAGTTGATACATTCTGGATTGACTCTATGGGATTGGTATACACAATAGGTAACGTATCAAGAGAGATCCATGTTGTAACCAAAGCGACTCATGCATTTACTCTATAGCCACAACACCATCCAATCCAACCTGGCACCACCCTCGGCCAGCCCCATATGATGTCTGCACCCTCCTACGTATCCATAGCTGCCTCCTCAGCAGCAGCCGTTGCAACCGCAGTACCGGTATCGCTAGCTACTACCACCTCCAACGCGTCCGCCCCAGCATGGCACCTTGCACAGGACAACAGGCCACAAACTGTGGATGCATCTAAGGTATGGACATTTTGAATTGTGGATTTTCGCTGGTTGCGGAGTAACTGGGAATTTAGGTTTGAGAAACCCTATAGGCTAAGCTCAAGATTGGTTTTTGGCCTATGATATTTAAGGTTGCATGATTTATTTAGACATGGATCAAGACATTGGTTTGTGTTGTATTCTAGTCTTACTATTGTTTGGAACAAGAAAATATTCTTTCTATCTTTGAATGATAAATTCCGTAGATACTACCTTCCCCCTAACAAAACACACAAAGTCATACTTCCTTAGTTGCTGAATGACTTTATTATTCTGAGTAGAATCCTCTGCTTTCAACTGCTCTCTGTTACTTTTTGTCTGTTTATTAGTCCACCCCTCAGTCAATATCAGTTTGATTTTAGAGTCATTGTACCTGGGCTGTCCTTTTAATCTCTCTTCCTCTTTCTCTCACAAATATTTTTTTTTTTTAGCCCCACCATAGTTATGTGTTCCCCCTTCCTTCCTCTCACTCAGTCTCTGTCTCTCCCTCTCACTTTTTCCTGCAGTTAGTTTCTTATCTTTTCATACAAAATACTACCGACTAGATCATTGTTCATACCTTTGCACAAGGCTATCTATCCCCTACCTTCTGTACGTCATTGCCCCAATGGCTATTTATAGAGTCTGTGTTTGGAGCCTCAGTCTGTGCACAAGTTGTCAGCATCCCTCATTGCCATGGGATTTATCATATCGAGGCATCTATTTTCTTTGTGTGTGTGTATTATTAGTTCTCGGGATAGTCATACGGATGGCCTCCTACATAGTGCCTTATCAGATCGTTCGCACAGATTTTGAGGTTTCACACATTGTGCTTTTTGTCTTCAAGATGTGTGTTCATACATCTGTCAAAATTGTAACAAAAGGCAAATGCTCCCTTTTGTTTAGTAAGTGCAGTTCATATTTACTGTTGAAAGGATTCTATGACATCCTTGTAGAGCTTATATTAGTATCTGGATTTGGAGCGGGCGGAAGTGCTCGCCCCCTCATGAATCTAAAGTCTTTGCCCAGTGCCAATGACTGGTTTCTTGTAGCCATGTTACCATGTTATGATAAAGTAGGCTTCTTTGTGACGTTACAGGTCTTATTGACCATACCAAAATATCTTTATGATGAGACTTTTCCTGTAAGAAATCTGATCTCTTGGCATGGGACACTTCAAATAAAGTTTGGCCCAAATTGACAATACGACATGCAAACTTGAAAATCTCTGGTTGAAAAGACTCAACCCTATCAGGAAGATGAAAATTTGGCATTGTAATTGGTAATTGACAGTAATGCTGGTTAATTGGCAATAGCCAGCAGTGTTGATTAGTATGAGTAGTATTATGACTAGAGGAAGTCTTGGTCCTCTTTACGCCTTCCTTAGGATTTAGCACATCTGCCTCTCATAACTCTTTGAGATCATATTTGTTTGATCCCGGCTGACAGTTAGAATTAATGATTCCCCTGACAGCATCAAGCTGGATGAGAAACACAGGAAATTAATGAAAATCAACCAGGAATCCATGTCTTTGCTACCCTTCCTTTTAAAAAGAGAATACTTAAACATGACCAGCATGACATGAGCATTGCAAGGGTAATTGGTTTTGTAACACATGAAAGACGAACGAGAGCATGAGGCAAACAAGACAGAGGTCCCCTCATATATTCTATCGATCCTATGGCAACTTAATTTATTGTGACATTGCATCTATAAAGGTAGGTTCTTTCAGTACAAAACAAAAGATAGATAGATAGCCATACAGAGCGTTGGAGAAACAGAAGCTGAAAGCATGAATAAGAGAGGCACATTAAGAGAGCGAGAGAGAGAGAGAGAGAGTGCAATGTTCATGGAAAGTTCCATCACGGGGGAGGGTAGACATAGTAGGAGGGAGGATCAGGCAGGAAACAGTGAATCAGTGTAATGTGACATTGTAGACAGTCCATCAAACTCTCTTCTTCTCTTCATCCCCAGGCTATTCCCTGGTTATTGTCCTCTTCGTGCATATTTCTAGACGGTGCCCGAAGGCAGAAGCTCCAAACCAATAATGGTAGACCTTCCCAAGATACCGGTCTTTATCCTTTGTGGTCACGGAATGTTACAGAGACTTCTAACAAGTAGAATGTTGCCCTTTACAAATATGAACCACAAAACCTTCTTCCATATTTCATTTTTGTACACATGCATTAGGGGCACAATGAATGAGTAATCTCTAGATGATGTCCTCCTTTGCTATGCCATTGGATCGATAGTGGTCGCCTTTTTAAGTTGAGGGAACTTCTTTAGCTCTGCTTTAAAACACTCTTTAATATCCGGCCCCAATATAAGAGGTTACATTTTGCTAAGGCCAGGTATTATACAAAAGAACAATTTAGAATATTTGAATATTTATACAAACTCATCAAAATTATTAGTTTAAAAATGTCTGTTGGTGTCAATATTTTTAGACATATCAGTAGGGTTGTCAATCAATTTAAATTCCAACCAGTGCTACTGTTTTCAGATAGAAGTCTGGAAAGTCTGGATCAAAATTAAAATAGTGTCCACACAGTTAGGATCAAGCTAACAATGGTTCTAATACTGCGGGAAATAGAATACATAATACATGTGAAGGTAAAGAATTTCCCATGTTCCTTTTTGAGGGAAGGGGGGGGTGGCTAGTACTTAATATGAGACAGACGTAGCAGAGATATAATGAGATTATGTTTCATGTGGAAATGAAATATTGAGCATACTGCTATCATGTCATCCAGCACCTTGCCTGAGTCCAGACCGCAACCAGTGAGGTAAACATTATCACTTCCAAGTGTTGCATATGTTGTGCACTGTTCAGGCAGCAGCGCTGTGGGCCAGAGATAAGGCATTCTCCAAGTTAAATGTTGCTGGCCAGCCAGCCAACGCATGAGCTTCAGACAGGTGTGGCCATGCTTGCTGGGTGAATGTTATTGCTCACGAATGTTGCATGTGCTCGGTTCAATTATGCAGATAATCTGACCGGCACCAGATCTTCTGGCAGGCATGTGCTGGCTGCTGTTGGCTCCCCTGTTGCCCTTTCCTTGACCTTGCTCTTCATCAATGAGGGCTCCTTTCAACTTCAACGGAAACACGGCATTATACACTCTATCTCATGTTTCCCCTCGGTAGTAAATCACACACAGATCAAAACAAAGTCAGTTACAGAACATTTAGTTCTCGGAGCCTCCCAAACTGATCCAGAAAGAAAGTTCACTTTGGGACTGTGATGTACGTGCCTGTTGCATTGATACTTTTGACAGAGCTAAAGTGTCATGGTTATGCATAAGATGGGGGATTTAGAGAGAAGATGATTACAGTGTGCCAAGAGACCCCAAGACAAAAGAGAATGCTATGTCATTCACCACAGAACGTGCTCAAGAGGGAGAGTTGGTGAGGAGAACACAGGAGAAGGAAGGAGAGAGAGAGAGAGAAGGTAAAAAGGAAGGAGATAAGAGGACAGAAACAGAAGAAAATGAGAGTAGATGATTAAAAAAATGTGAATTTAGGGAAACTGTAGAAAGAGAGAGAAGTTTAATAAGAAGACTTCTTTGGGAATATTAAGTAATAGATAATTGAGAAAAGACATTCGGATAATCATATTACAATCTTAATCATAAAGGAAAAATGTGTGAGCATTGATATGAAAACAGTTAGGATTAGAATTGGAATCTAGCCATTTTACGATCATATCCATTTACAAATATCAAGATCACATGTATAATTGAAAAAAAATGAGAGACAGATTAGGAAGATAGAGATTTTAATTTTAGGATAAACAGACATGAAAGAGAGTTAGAGATGAAGGTGAGCGAGAGAGAAAGCTTAATGACTGGAGAGGGTATTATTAAAGCTATGTATGACTCAATTCATACCCTGGGATAAACAGAACAAGAGAGGGTTTAAAGATGGATTCAATATTCAAAGGCTAATTCATGATTAAAACCTTTGTCTCCCACCCAATTTGTTAACACCTTTTCTGTATTAAAATCAACAAAGAAAACTGTTTATAAATTAATATCAGGACGTTTTTGCTTTCCTTATTTACATGAGCTGGAGTGAAAACTTTATTAGTGAAAAACTTGTATGCAGGTTTATTTTCAGTTCAATTATTTATTAAAAACCTACAGATGTTAACACTTTTTGATGCGTAGGTGTTGTGTGGCAATGTTATTTTATGTAATAAAAAAATAAGCATGAAGAGCATATAAATTAACTACGAAGAGACCTAAGACATAATTTTAGTTATGTAATAATTGATATACTTAATTATGAAAATGATATTGGTTAATATATTAGGATGTAATACATGTTTGTTTTTTGTTTTTTGCGACTGCTTTTTTTCGGTTGGGGTGGGGGGCTCTTTAAGGGAGATCTTGGCATTTTTTGACAACATGTGCACTTGGGCGACTTTTATATCTTCCTACTAATTTGTAGAGTTGATGTTGCAATTAAAAGTGTGAACTTGCATCCTGTCGTTTAATCAAGAACTTACTGTTATCAGTCTGATCAGAAAACATGATCAAATTATTGCGTGGAGCAAAATGAAACATGACATAGAAGGTCATGAACGGGACTAAAGATTAACATACAAGTTTTAGTCTGATGTGAGTGACAAAAAAAAGTATTGGCCTCCCCTTTCAGATCATGTTACTCTAATATTTTTTGTTAATCTAATATTTTTTGTTACTATGTCACTCTTTATTTCAAATTGTGAATATGAGAGTAGACACCAATTAGCACGGTCGAAAAAAGACTAATGCAACATACAAGGTCATGGACATGTTTTTGTACTATATTATTTGGCTTGGTGCATTTTCACTACACTACACAGCAGCATGGCAGACCTGTTCTAATGATGCATGACATTATTGGATTACTCGTGTGTTGATGCATGCCATTTTAATTTCCTTACTTCGGTGGAGTCCCATTAATACTGACTGTGCCCAGAAATCCATGACTCTTTTGTATTGTCTACCACATATCA